CGAATGGAGAGCGGGTGAATGTCAACATCTGGCTCTCGCCTTAGCGCCGCGCGCGTTCGTTGAGATCTTCCAACAGCTCCACGGGTCGAGGGCGACGCCATTTCGACATGGGGCCCCCACTTGAAAGGCGCCTCGAACGCGGAACCAACGCCTCTTTTTTTCGGACCGCGGTTGCGCCAGCGCGCAGATGGGGGCGCCCAAAGAAGAGCCTGAGGAGGGACCTAAGGAGCCTGGAGCCTCTTCCGAAACCAACGTGGTCAATAGTCAAAGGCGTGGACTGTTTCTCGCCGAGAGCTTCTGAGCAGCGGCAGCATCATCTCGGCCCTCATCCGATTGGCAAAAGCTACGACCCGAGGACCCAGCTGGCGAGAACGACCATCGAACATGTCCAGCCAGTGCTAGGACATTCAAGAGCAGGCTTCGAGTCTAGATGCTCGCCGCAAGCGCGGAGGCGCGCCGTAATAGTAGCGAGGGGCAGAAAGGGGGCGGGCGGAGAGGGCAGGGGGAGAAAGGGTTGGAGGCAGGAGCGAAGAGAAGAAACGAGCGAGGAGTGAAGGGCATGGGAGAAGGATCCGTGGATGACGAACGAGGAGCGAGGGGCGAAAAGAAACAGAGGAAGGGAAGGAGGTGAGGAGGGGAGGACGAGGTAAGCGAACGAGGAAGCAGGGAAAGGCGGAGGGAAGGCACTCACAAGGGGACCTGTATCGCGAGGAAGACGAAGAAGCTCCTGTTCCTCCTCCTCCTCCTCCTCCTCCTCCTCCTTCTCCTCCTCCTCCTCTTCCGTGCCCTCTCCTCCCTCTTTTCTCCTCCCTCGTCATTTCTCCTCTTCCTCCGCCACCTCCTCCTCCTCCTCCGCCTTCCCCCCTCCCCGGAAGCCTCGAGATAGAGAGCCACGTAAACATAAAATCATTAGACGTCCGCAGACGGATTCTCCGCTGACGCCGAGACCCCCTCCCCGCACCCCCACCCCGGCGCGCGGGCGCCACCCGCTGCGGGGAAGCAGGGGGAAGATCCGGGGCCGGCGGAGAAATGGCCCGTCGCCGTCCGAAAGCTTGTGCTTGCGCCGCCCTCTGGCTCTCCAGAGACAGGAGGCAAAGGCGCGGGCGCGCGCGCGCGCGCACCGGAGCCCCCGCCCCCGTCCTGCGAAGGCATCGCTCCCGGCGGGCCCCGACCGCTACTGGAAGGCCAGCTGGCGGGCAGGGGCCCTGAGCCCACGCTGCCACTGCCGCCGTCTGCGCCGAAGGCATGAGGAGGGAGATGCGAGGCGCGATCGCAATGGGGGAGGTCCACGTTTTCAGTCCACATTTCAGTCTCTGGAAACCGTTTCCCGGCCCTGGGATCTTCAAAAAACGTCCGAGGATGACAAATCGGCCCTGGGGAGTTCTCGTGGCATCTAAGGCCCCGCGTCGCGAAAAAATGCGACGTCGAGGGGGGGGGGGTTCTAGCAGCGGCCTCCAGAGGCCTCCGGGGACTTCCCGCGACGCGTGGGGGCCTTCGGATACCTGCAGGGCGGCATAGCTGGCCAACTGAGGAGAGAGAAGTGGGGAGAGGAGATGGTGGAGGAGGAGGAGGAGAAGAGGGAGGAATAGACGGAGAAGGAGGAGGAGGAAAGATGTAGGGAAGGATGCTTTCCTCGATGGCGATGCGGACGAAGACTCTCCGCAACAGTCGAAGTTCATATTTACGCTGAGGTACAAGTCCTCGAACCAAATGTTCACATTCAGGGTTTCGAAGCCCCCCAGGGCGCTATTGCGCCCCCATTTGGAAGAAGCGCGCCTCTGTTTTTCCTCGTAGCTGCCCAAGACGACCCAAGCTGGCCCCAAGAAGGCCGAACAGGTCCCCAAGACGGCCCGAGAGGACTCCAAGACAGCACCCACAGAGGCCCAAGAGGCCGACCAAACAATTACAAACTCAAGCTTTCCGCCCCCGGGAGCCGCAGGAAAACCCAAGAGTGCCCCAGGAGGCCGCCAGAGACCACCAAAGAGGCCCCCGAGACGCCCCAAGTAACAACCAAGGAAACCTCCCAGAGGCTCCGAAACGGCCCCCAAGTTGCTTGAAAACTGCATTCAACGGTCCCCCGAGAGGCGCACCGCGAGATCCCGATACACATACAAGAAATCTCTCACCCATAACCCATGAACCAGAGCCTTCTGTCCGTGTCCCCATCCTTCTCCCCCCCGTCCCCCTCCAACTCGGCCCGTGAAGAAGGGTTCCACGCGATCCTCCGATGAGGCTCCCAGGTGTGCGGATAACCCTGACACGTCAAACCCCAGTCCCCAAAGGGGAGGACTCGAGCCCGCCGTGGGCGCGCAGGCACGGGCGCGGCAGCGGCGCATCTCCTCCTGCGTCTCATTCCCCCCCTCCTCCCCCTCTTGCTCCGCCTCCTCCTCCTCCTCCTCCTCCTCCTCCTCTCCTCCACCTCTCCTTGCTCCTCTTCCTCCGGCTCATCCTCGTCTTCTTCCTCCTCCTCCTTCCCGGCTGGGCCCAAGGCAATGGTGAATGTAAGTCCCTCAGAGTGGATCGGAATCCGCCACCGTGCCTCGGGCACGGAGTGGGCGTGTCCTGGGGCCGAATGCCTCAGTCCTCATCCACAGGAGTCTTGAAGCGACCGGGACTCTGAATTCTCGAATCTCTCAGGGCTGCCCTCGTGAACCTAGATAGCCCCAAAAGGGGCCACGACGACGACCCCAAGACAGCGCCCACGTCGGACCAAAACGGCCCCGAGAGAAGCAATTATTGACTGAAGACGCCCCAGATCGAAGACAACCGCAGAAGACACAAAGGAGAGAGGAAGAAAGCGAGAGAAAGAGAGGAAAAAACACGCCCAAACACACGCGCGCATTGCCCTGGCCTACCCATACTCCATATGAACACTACCCCCCTGTTGCAGGAAAGCTCGCGGGGACCACCTGAAACCAAAGAAAACACGAGGCCTGATTTGGGGTCGGCGGCAGAGGCGGCAGCCTTTAAATAATTGTTTGTTGGGTCCAATCTGCTAGGCCTTAAGACCCTAGACTGGCAATTTTTCCCATCCTCACCCAGGTTGCTACCGAAAGCAATGGAGAGAATTGCCGTTGCTATGCTCCGCCGCCGCCCCAATCAACCTCCATTTAGAGTCCTCGGGCTTTGCGAAGACGGTCAGCCTGCATGATTTGTTCCCCCCCATTTGTTCCCCCCCCTGAGAATGGTGCTCGCCCCCCCCCCTAAGAGTGGGCTTCGCGCCGCGGGTTCTTTCCTGTTGGCCTGGAGGCCCGTAGCGGTTTTGATTTTTAGAGGTTTAGTGTTTTTGGTTTTACACGTTCGGCGCTTTTGGCTTTTACGGTTTTCAGTGGGATTTCAATTTCGCGAACAAGCCGAAGCCCGTTCAATTCTCTAGCTACGGCACGCCCGCGCCCGCTTTCGGCAGCGGCGCCGAGGCGGATCGCGGGGCCCCTGCGGGAGGCCTCCTCCTCCGAAGGCCTCGCCCGAGGTCTCGGGGAGCGCGTCCGGAGAGCCGCGCGTTTCGCCGCTGCTGCTTCTCGCCGTCGTCGCAGGCGGTCTTCCTGGCAGCATTCCCAGCGCGTTAGGCCCCACTGAATCCGCCGACCCCCTGTGGGTCTCTAGGCGTGCCGTCGTCGAAGAGGACCACGTGAGCGACGATCCAAAGCCAGTGCTACGCGAGACGGCACAGCGACCTGGCGCGGTGGCTCACGCGAGCCGCCAGCGCGGCACGCCGCAATGGCGACCGGGGCGGTTACGCGCGACCTTAGGCGGGCCGCTTGCGCGCGAACGTCGGCGAAGACGAACCCTTTATCTTGCGTCGTTCATCTGTTGGCCTTCGCGGAGGAGGGCAGCGCGGCCTTCCTGGCTCAGGTGCCAGCGTGCTGGGCCCCACCGAATCAGTGATGTGCTGTCAAGGCCCCAAGTGGGTTGTGGGGTCCACGTCGGCGGTGGGAGGGTGCACGAGTCGCACAAGGCTTTGGCTTTGGCTTTGTCGGGAATGGCTTTGTCGGGAATGTGGGGGCTGTGCCAAGAATCAACTCCGTTCTCTCGCAAGCCAGTGGCGTCCCGATCTAATCACCCGCACTCGGCAGGAATATGTTGATCGTTTCCTCAGACGGCTCCCACCGAAGGCACAAGGCTCGAAGTGAAGGCTGCACTCTTCACTTTGAATGTTGCTTCGCAACTGTTCTGATTCCTGATTCCTGATTTAGAAGCCTTCCTAGATGCGCTCGGAGTGGATGGGTTCGGAGGATCGCTCCGCATCGCCGATGCATCGGCGATGCATCGTCGACGTGGGCGATACATCGGCGACGTCGACGTGAAGCAAATCGGGCTCCACATCGAGCCGCATCGGCGATGCATCGGCGATGAGGCGTGATCCTCCGACCCCACCTACTCCGACCCCATCTAGGAGGCCTGGATGATTCCCTCCCTCCCTCCCTCCCTTCCCCCCCCACTCCCTCCCTCCCTCCCTCCAGGCCCTCAAGGCCAATGCTCCCGCGTTGAGGCACTCATCCGCCACTGGGAGGCGGCGTGGCTCTTCTCGGCGCCATGGGCTCTGGAGCGCGGCGAGCCAGGGCTGGATCTGAAAGTTGTTTTTCGTGTTGTTTTCGTTTTGCTGTTCGTTTTGCTCTACCTGTTGTCCTGTGCCTTCCTGTCAAAACGAAAAGCAAAGCACAGCCGAAGTCCAGCAAAACAACGTCTAGGTCCAGCCCCTGCGGCAAGCAGCCGCCATGTTGCTGTGCTGATGGTGCGATGAGGGTCTGGGTGCGAGTCTCCCCGGTTCTCCAGCCCGTCGGGCAGGACCTCCTTTTTTGAGTATCGCTTAACCGATCCCCATCCCCAGCGGCGTGGCCTGGGCCCCACTGGCCGATTTACCCCCGTGGATGGGGATATAGGCCGTTCCCTTCGGGCTTCGAGGGGTGTATCCCCAACTGGGGTGGTAATTTGGTGGGCGGGTTAAACGATACGGATTGTTTCCTCTTCTGTCCACCCCCCACCACCCCAGCGAGCCCGACCTCGGGGATGGTCAGCAGGTAGGCCAGCACGGCCTTCTCCTCGTGGACAGAAGGCGACGTGTCAAGGGGAGGAGAAGGAGAGAGGGGAGGGGGGGACAGTCTAGGTTTAGGTTGGGCCTGCCCCCCTACGCGAAAAAATACAAACATCAAAAACGGGTTCATAGTAGTTTTTGACTATGTTTGAATATTCCTCCTGTAGAGGGACAAGCCCGACTTGAGTCTATGTGCGCTCGCTCCATCTCACGCCGCTCCCGCCCATCCGTTTTTCTCCGCTGCGCCGAACTATTTTGCAGCCGTGGGGTGTCCTAACAGGCACCTTGATACCCACAGAGGCCCCACCGTGTGATGCACCATCAATACGACATGAAGGGCCTTGTCCACTGCAGGACAAAACGGTGGCGCATCATCAGGACGATGCGCAAGAGGAAATGAGGATGCTGATGCTGCTGATGATGATATGAGGATGGTGGTGATGATGATGCTGATGATGATGACGATGGTACTGATGATGATTCGCTTATGGTCGTGATGGTGATGATGATGATGATGACGAGACAAAACAACAAGATCAACAACCAGAATGGGGGGAGAGGGGGGGAGAGGAGGGGCGACAACGATGAGGGGCTGCCCGCGCTTGGGAGGGTAGGGGAGGGAGGCCAACTCTGAGGGACGGGAACAGAGCACCGATGCTGTCGCGGGGCCACCGTGCCGTCGCGACGCCTGGAATGCCTGAGGGGGCGAACGTGGAGCGCTTGGTGTGGTGCCATGGGATGCTCATGCCACGATTGTATTATACTGTAGTGAATGGTTCTCACGTCTGGCCTATCATATCACAATACGCCCTGTTGTGTCATGTTCACGACGGGCCGACGTGACGTTGTGACGCCTGTCGCGTTTCATACGTCATCAATTCTGTTCTGCTCTGGGTTTTCTGGCATTCAAATATTCGGACTTCAAATATTCGGACATATGCTTTGTGATCGCTTCGAATACCGGGTTCTTTTTAACTATGCTCAATCACGGCCGTACGTCGGCGCGCATTTTGCGTTTGATGGGACGCCTCTGTCGGTTGCTGCTGCGATCTGAGTATTCAGTCTTGTTATGTTCAACGATGTTCCAATTTAGTCTACTGTGAATGCAAGGCTATGTGCGAATACTGGCAAGCCAACGTGACGTATTGACGCCTGACAGTTCTGTTACGTCACAAGTTCTGCTACATTTGTTCTATTCCTTTCAATGCTACAACTGCGCACCTCTAATCTGTTTTGTACTATATGGTATGTTATGACTTGCTGCCCCTTTACAAAGCTAGATCCTCGTACTCCATGGTATGTTCCGACATGCAATGCTCCGTCACGCTTATGCTCCTATGTAATTCTCGACGCACTTCTACTAAATGTTGGCGGCGATGTCCCGATATAATCACTTATGATCTGTCACGCCATATGGAAGTGTGCAATATTATGGACTGAATAGTTACGAATTATACAATTGTATTTATCTTAATTGTGGTGTAGGATATTATGTTATCTTCTCAATCTGCACCCTTCTGATCTGAACTTTTCTGTTCTCATTTGCGACGGCCCACAAATAGATCCCCGCGGGATCTCCGGTGGTTCTGGGGATCTTGCGGCCGCGGTTTGTGGCGGCCCACAAAAGAAGAACCCCCCTTGACCACCGATGGGCCTGGGGAACTGGCGGCCGCGGTATCTGCCGGCCCACACTGGGATCCCCGCTGTTGAACCATCGCGCGACCCCTACCCCAACGAACCGATAAGAGCCAGAACCGGAATGTTCCGCGTGAGGCCCGGAAACTCCCCAGCGCCCAGTTTGCCTCTGGGAGAGAAAAATGGGGAGACCAAGGGCGACGGACAAAAACTTAACTGCGGACAAGGGTGGGGGGCGCGACATGCCCACGCCAGTTCAAACAGAGCGCTGAACAGGAACGGGTCTTCAATCCAACATCATTTCTGCTGCGCTGCTGCGCTGATGCGGCGGTGGGATTTGCCATGGTCAACCGAGAAGACAAAGAGCCTGATTCGACGACCCATTCCAGCCTCCTCCTCACCATAATCCCCCGCCTCCTCATTCCTATCCTCATCATCCTCCACATCTGCATCGCCCGAATCCGCATTTATTCCAGACGCGCCACATCCTTCGCAACCTGGAGCAGCGATGACTAACGCTCGCATCGTGAAACCACTGGACAACACAAATTTTCGAAAACATACTCCGAATGGGCCCTCCAGAACACACCCTCCTAAACGTAGCCTTACAGGTTGGAGGATCCAATGAGCACCCTCCACATTGTGCATTCATCTAGGGTTGGAAGGCCTAGGATGCACTCTACAGAAATGTAGCCTAACAGTTTGAGCGAGTCCAGAACGCACTCTACACAGTCCAGTCTCCTAGGGGTGGAAGACCATGTTGCACTCCAGAACAAACGAAGGGCCACCGCTGCGGACAAGCGTCCTGGCCTAGCTCAGACCACGTGGATAAGGCCGTGGCCTCTGGATTCTGGCGTACCTGGACACATGCAACGCGAAGCAAATAACACACATAGGGCGAGAGGACGAGGAAGTCCTTGGTGCGGTGTAGGCGCGTGTGTCGTCTCGACTTCACCCTGCTGGTCTTGGATGCCTGCTCGCGTGGGGGTCGGTGTACTACTCAGTGCTCGAGCGTCGTGCAGGCGGCGGTGCCTTAGGCTGTGTGCACTCATGCGAGATGTCGTTCGGCTGTCCTTTCGGAAAGATTGTTCTGGGCGGTCCGTGGAGGTGTAGTCTGCGTTGGCGTGCGATCGTCCCGGCGCTCGTGTCGTCTACAGAATGCAGCCTCATACGATTGACGGATACAGCGTGTACTCTGCAGAGTGCAGTCTCCTAGGGTTGGAAGGCCCAGGTTGCACGCTACAGAGTGTAGCCTCGTAGGTTTGGCGGATCCAGGGTGCACTCTACAGTGTCGTCTCAGCGACGGTCGGTTCTCAAGAAAGAGGCAACCTCTGCCACCACTGCGTACACGAACTGAAACAACAACTCCGTATTGATAACCACTCACCCTCAATCCTTGCATCCGTTGGTAACTTGTACGACTGATGCGCGCGACGCTAACGTGATAACAACATTCATAATAACCAACCGCCATCCATCTTCATAGCTGATGCTGGAATATGATCGACGAATGGACGTGGAGGGTGCATGAACGACTGACATGTCAAAACGCCCTCCCTGCATCCGCCTGTTCGATGGAAAGGTCAAACTTTATTATCATACATTGTGGACTTCCAAACGAAACGCCTGGCCCACCTTACCGACACGCCTGGTGATGCGGCGAGGAGTTGTTCGAAACAGGCAGAGTGATGGATGAGAAGAGAAGAGGAGAGAGGAGGCGGGAGGGAATTGGGAGGGAGGGAGGGGTGGGGGAGTTAGGCGAACAAAGAAGGAGAGGGACGGAGAGAATACAGAAGACAGAAAGGAGAGGTGGAGGGCGAGAGTGGAGTGGAGGAGGACGTGGCCGCTGGTGTCCTTGGCCCTGAAGTCCACTGCCTGCGAGGTCCCTGCGTCGGCCATGGCCCAAGCGGGCCAGGCCAGCCGCCGCCGGGGCTGCCGCCGCAGGGGGCCCTTCGGGCCCGCCTTGACGAGGATTAGCGGCATTAGGAGCCAGGAACTCTTCTTTCTCCTCCTCTCTTCCCCTTCCCAACCCTCTTCCTCCTCCACCTCCACTCTCCTCCTTTGGTTCTCCTCCTCCTTCTCCTCCTTCCGCATGATCTGTCCTCCTTCTCCGCCTCCTCCTCTTGCTGCCCCAGCCTCCTCCTCCTTCCTCCCCTCACAAATATCCTCTTCTTCTTCTCCAGCCTCCTCCTCCTCTTCCTTCTCCTTCTACTCCGTCTCCTCTCCTCTTTCATCGTTCCCCTCGCGCGCATCCTGCCTCCGCTTCCTCCCCCTCCACTTTTACTTCGAACGGTCCTTCACTCGTCACCTTCATCTTTTTCTTCCTCCTTTTCTTCCTCGCCGCCCTCCACTTTAACAGCATCGGCGTTTGGATTATCCTCGTGCGCTAGCCTACGCACAATCGGTGGACAAGGGTGTACCAACGGTGCTTGCACTGAACTTCGGGGTTCTCAATTCTGTTACCAAAGGATTGGTTGGGTCCCGCGGTGACTTTCCACGTTGCCGCCCGTGGCCGCCTCGTGGCCGCCTCGTGCGCCTGGTGGGTCCAGCGAGGAACCGCCACGGTGCTGCCCGTGGCCGCCGCCTCGTGTCCGCCTCGCGCGCCGGGTGAGCCCGGGGAGGCATCGCCATCTCGCCGCCTCGTGGCCGCCTCGTGAGCTGGGTGGGTCCAGCAAGACTTCGCCGCGTTGCCATCCGTGGCCGCCTCGTGGCCGCCTCGTGGCTGCCTCGTGGCCGCCTCGTGCGCTGGGTGGGTCTGGCGAGGCTTCGCCACGTTGCGCCCGTGGCAGCCTCGTGCGCTGGGTGGATGCAGCGAGGTTGCGCCACGCTGCCGCCCGTGTCCGCCTAGCGGCCGCACCGTGCGTACACTGCATAGCTCACATCACATGGATCGACGCGCTGGGAAGACTCCATTGGTAAGCGCCAGCACGCCCGCATCGGCTGTGCCAAAACAGCTGGCCGCTGTGCGCGCGAGCTTGCGCGCGCTAGCGCAGCCGCAGATGTGCCAGCCAGTGCGTGGTAGGCACCGCAATCGCGGCCGCATGGGTTATGCAGAACAAATTGCAGGTGGGAGGGTGGGATGATTGAGCGAGCAGTGGAGTTGGCGACTTCAAGTTCTGCAAGGTGGATTGCGCCGCAGTGTATACACCACATATCATAAACCACACCACATCGATTGCACCACGCAACTCACACCACATCGATTACACTGCGTAGATTCTCCCTTCAAGAACAAACGCAAACTCCACCACCTTACCCCGTCGAATTTATCAATACACACCAAGAAACTACAACTTTCCACCTGAGCCCATACCATCCCAGCCCAACAGGACATCACCGCATCCATGTGAAACGATACTATGCGCCCTTGTCTATGTCAAAATATCCGCCGACCCCTTGTGGGTCTCCAAGCGTGTGAGATTGTTCCCCCCCATAATCCCCCCCCAGGGACCCCAAACCGGGATTTTGACCACACCCCCCGCCCGGGACGGCCCCGGACCGAACTCATCCGGGGCGGTCTGGGCTCCCTGGGCTCGCTCTTGAGCTGCACGACAGCACTTGACGCCTCCCAAAAAGCCGCCAAGACGGTCCGCGAGAACCCCAAGTCGCCGAAAGATCGTTCCAAGACGCCCAAGATGAGCTCAAAACGGCCCAAGAGGCCGCCAAGACCCCCCATGAAGCGTCCAAGATGCCTCCCAAGAAGCCCCCAAGAAACATAAATCTTGCAATTCCCTTGGGAAAACGTGCATTTTCAGCATATCCAACCTGTTAGCCTTCACGGCGTTGAAAACCATCCACGAGGCCTCCACGAGACCCCAAGGACCACCCTAAGACGGCATACGAGGCTCCCGGGAGGCCCCAAAGACAACCCAAAAGAACTTCAACGTGGCCCAAGAGGCGCCCTAGACGGTCCAAGAGAGCTCCAAGACGGCCCCAAGAAAGGCCCAAGAGAAGGACCACGAACCGCGAATTTCAGCGCTCCGCCCAACGAAGCTCTCCAGATGACCCAAGAGGCCCCCAAGCGGCCCCAATAGGCCCCCATGAGGCACCCAAGAGGCCCCAGAGAGCCCCCAAGAGGCCCCAAAGAAGCCCCAAAACGGCCCCCAAGACCCCTCGAAACTGCCTCGAAGAGGCCCGCGAGAATCCTCGCCACAAGGAATTCAGTCCTGGAGGCGCAGTAGTTTATGGAGGGGTCAGCGGATGTGGCGTACGGCTATAGAATTACTTTCAATATCACATCACGCAAAAATGCACAACAAACACACAAGCGCGCACATGTCGGAATGATACCCAAACGCATTGCTGATCAAAACAGTTTGGCATACAAGCATCCAGAACCCTTGACTTGTCAACCGCAAAGACAGCAGATAATCTGCCCGCGCGCAGTTGCTCAAATCATGGGGAATCATGGAAACTTCGCCATCTCGCCCAATCAGAACCCGCATCATCATCTCACCACACGGTGCATCCGCGTTGGTCTAGCATGCACCCAGCGAGCGAAACCTCACACAACAACAACGACGACGACAACGACAACAACAGCAACAGCAACGCACCACCACCACCACCATCACCACCACCACCACCACCATGAACAACAACAAGAACAACACCAACACCAACACCAACACCATCACCAACACCACCGCCACCATCACAACCACCACCACCACCACCACCACCACCACCAACAACAACAACAACAACAACAACAACAAGAACAACACCAACACAAACACCAACACCAACACCACCACCACCAACAACACCACCATCAACGGCATGCGGGCCACACGTGCGCGCCGCAACGCGCGCGTCTAAGCTCTTTTCAAACTCAGTTGCCGTCGGAGCATTTCCGAATAGACATCTGCAAAACCATGCCTCTAGCGGGGCCCCGTCCTGTGGAGCCCCAGGTCGGGGAGGAGGAGGAGGGAGGAGGAGGAACTGATCCCTTAGGTGTAGGAGAAACAAAACCCGCGGACCCGGCGGAGAAGATTTACAGAGCAAGTTGGGTCGTCCCATGACTGGCCCCCTGGCGCGCTCCATGGCTTTTCCCATGGCGCGTCCCCCGGCACGTCCCCTGGCTTGCGCGTTCCCTGGCACATCTGCGACGCGTCCCCTGACACGTTCCCTGATCCCATGGCATGTTCCTTGGCATGTGCCCTGGTCTGTCCCAGGCGTTTCTCTTGGCACGCCCCCTGACGCGCTCCTTGGCGCGTCCTTTGGCACGTCCCCTGGCTTGTCTCTGACGCGTTCCCTGGCTCGTCCTCTGGCGCTTTCCCTGTCCATTCCGTGGCGCGTCTCCCTGGTCTGTGCCCTGGCGCGTCTCCCTTGGCACGCCCCCTGGCGCGTTCGCTACCGCGCTCCCAACTGCGTTCAGCGGCGCGCCCTACTCGTCCCTGAGCACCCCTGGCTCGCCTCTGCCGCGTTCCCTGGCTGGTCCGCTGGCGCATTCCCTGCCCTGTGGTTTCAGGAGGGTCAGCCGAAAAGTATTGGGCTCAGCCCAGTCTCGGTTCGTCATTCCTCAATTCGATCAGGGTTTATTTGGCCCTTGTCTGGGGTTGTACTGTGTCGGTTCTTCCTGTGTCAGTTTGTCGCATCTCGATTAGCCACGTTTCGATCCATGGTCGGTGTGGTTCGCCTCGGTTCGGGATAACGAGGTAAAGTGCTGATTTTTTTAGAAAAAGTGCGTTTTGTGCGTGCCCGCTCGAGGAAAGTTCGCCCCCCATCTCGGATCCTCGATAAATAACGGGGTCCGCAGACCCCCGCTTTCCCTCGTAAAAAAGAGGGGGCGGAGCGTTTTTCGCAGAATCCTCGAAAAATAACGGGGTCTGGAGCCCCGACCGCGACTCGGAAAAGCGCCCCGCGCGCAGGAATTCCGAGGATGTCTCGCGCGTGCCGCGTCCCGCGCGCAGGAATTTCGAGGATGTCTCGACTAATTCGCTTGTTTTGTCAGGATTTCTTAGAACTTTGGCAGGATGTCTCGAGCGAAACGCTTATTTTACATAGTTTGTGGAGGATGTCTCGAGCGAAACGCTGGTTTTCGCAAAATTTGGAGATGTCTCGAGCGGGGGGCCAGAATTCAGAGGATGTCTCAGGCGAAATGCTTGTTTTCGTGTCCCGCTCTCGGAACTGAATTGGATCTCGAGTTCGAGCTGGATGAGCGCCCCGCGGGCTTCGATTACAACCAGCGCTGGGCGAGCTATGCGTTCAGGCAGCTCGAGCTGAAGTTTCATATCAATTCGGTCAGGACTAGGATGCCAAGGACGACTACATCCACAACGCAATAGAGCACAACTTAACTTAATGCGGCATGGTACATCTCAGTTCCACACGGCACAGCACAGCATAGCTCCTGGCACGGTACATAACCATCGAGACGTTCAGCATTGCAACTGCCCGTCGCCCAAACAAGTGTCTTCAAAACGCTTTCGTGCCTTACATACCTAAACGATTTTCCGGTTTCGTCGGCCAATCGCGTTCAAATGTCGCCATGTCATCCAAGCCCATACCGGTATCGCCCCGCCCATCTCATCCTTGGCAAACAGCACTACGCGGGCACTCGTTTACATCAAAGGATTATTGGTCTAGAGCCCTTTGCAAAGGATGGACCAAAATCCACACGCGCGCGCACATATCAAACTCATACTAAACACATTCTATGCGCAAGCATGTCGACATACAGACATCACATTGCCCGAGACGTACCCAACCCCTTCTCCACGCGAGGCGGATATTTGTATGAACGCTACATACAGCAGAACACATCGCCAAATATGTACGATCTGCGCTGCCCTCATCCCCGCTTTGCCACCGACGAGCCTACGAAAATGGCGCCAACTGCGCACTTCGCAACCTCCCAAGGAGCCGCGAAGTCTCGGATGGATCCGCGTGGCCCCCGACTCCGCTGAACTTCCCAGGAGCCCACGAAAGCGGCGACAATTGCGCAATTCGCCACCACCCGAGG